AAAATGTAGTTTTATTTGTTCCCAAGGGGACAAGAGTGACAAAAGAAATTATTTAGAAACTTATTACATATCAAAAGTTTGTTTTGATGAAGAGAATTTAAATAGGAGCTCTTGGATGTCCTAAGCAAATATTCCATAACTCGGTAGATGAAGCATGAAAAGTAGATGTTGGTGACGCAGTCATGTTTTCTCTTGTGGGAATGGGGTAAAGGCCACCGACTGTTACATCTCATGAAAAATGTTCCTATCTAAAAATCATTCACAGAAAAATCGAAAGGGTCAAATTCAACTGAGACATAATTATCAATTTTCTGACAGAAACAAGATATTGTATAAGTTTCACTGTATGTGGGGCATTGTTTAATGATAGGAGATTGGATAAAGATGGATGTACACAACCTATAAAGGAATATGATGACCATTTCCAATAGTAATATTATTACTCGTATTAAAATAAGACGTGAGGTTACCTCCATTTCCCGTCATATGAGAAGTCTCTTCGTTCTCCATATACCAATTATCATTAGGAGGAGAGATGGAGAAAGTGTGCATAGCAGCCTGAATTTCTGTCGGAGCATAGTATTGCGGTGCTTGCTGACCGGTGGAAGTCGGTGGAGTAGTGGCTATATGGGCTTGCTAAGGCCTAGGACCAAGTATACCAGATTGTTTATGTGACACACCTATTATCGGATAGGGACATGGTGGAGTTGCTCGTGGTTGCCATGGATATGCCCACGACTATTGCTGATAGAGAGATGAAAATCATTATTGTTGTTGCGGCTGAGAGAGAGTTCCACCTCAACGATTGTGTCTTCCCCTGCCACGACCGATGTGGCCTGTGATCACTATTGTTGTGTCCGTTGTAACAGTTGTTGAGAATATGACCTGGTGAGGCTGAAACATCATCTTGAGAGGATAAGAAAGTAGATTTTTCGACTGAACTCATTGCCTTATTTGCCTTGGTTGCTTCTTCTAGGATAATCATGGAACGAGCTTTGTAAAAGGAGGAAGATAATCTCAGTGGTGAATCTGCAATCCGACTAGGCGTATGCATAAGTGAGGTCAGAAATGAGTTGAAGTACGGGCCTTTCATTTGACACGGGAACACCGACATTAGAGAGCTTATCTCACTACTACAAAATATGCATATAACAACGCCAAAGTCATCATGATTTTTCCAAACACTATGGTGACACGTCTAAACTCTTGCGCTAACATTTATTATAATTTAAATTAAAAATTGTAAGGGTATAATAACGGTTAGTGTTAACACCGTGGTGATACAATAAAGTTTTTATGGGTTTGAACCTCATCGCCCTCAAATAGATTACTTTGACGTTAATGCGCGTCTTTTCATTTTTATTTATATGTAACTAAAAAATAATAGGGATATCACTACGGTTATTTTTTAAAAATTTTGTTACACACATGCGCTTCTTTATATATTTTAAACACTAAGTGTCCATTTTTTCACTGAAAAAAGAAACAAGACGAAATAACCCTAACACCAATGTCGTCATCATCGTCGAGAAGGAAAACAACAACACCGATAAATTATTCTCCTTTACGGTACGTAAAATATTTTCGACATTGTTATTTTTTAGTTTCTTTTCAATGTCGCATTGAATACAACGTCATCCAAAAGTGTTTCTATGTCTTCTTCTGTAAAATCTCGATCTGAAAATTTGTGTGGTCGTGATGGTTGTATGGTTTCGTACCAATGTAAGAAAGACTTTTTTGGAGATGTCCATTTTTGAGGAGTGATGAAACATGTAATTTATTCATATGAGATGAAGACATGAGAGAAAAATATGGAAATGAAGATGATAGCATTATAAAGTCAGAGTTGGAGATTTCTATTTTGAAGGTTATGTATGAAGATTCAAAGAAGAAGAACAAGAATTTGAAGAACAAACTGAAATCAGAGATATTTTCTGGAAATTTGAAGATGTTAAGTTTTCTTGTCTCCATTATGTTTAATTTTTACTTTAATATGAAATGTAATAGTTGAAGTAGAGTTTGAATTCCACTGTTGATGTTGAAAGTGCAGATGCTTTGAACTTGACAGGAATGCAACTAACAAACGGTTTCTTACGAGTAAGTTAATCACAAAGTGTTGAAATTTCAATTAGTTATCTGTTAGTATATTAGTTGATAGATTTAAGTTGATAGTTTAAGTTGCAAGTTTAAGTTGATAACCTAGATAAATCCCTAGAGTTGATAAACTTTCATTACATATAAACTTCATTACATAAACTTAATCAAATCTAAATCCTCTGGTTGAGAGGAAGTTTGACCAATCATAGTTAGCATCATCATCATCAAATGATAAAAAAATCATCTGCCTTCTCAGCCTTCTTTTTCTTCTCCTTCTTCTTCTCCTCACTCTGAGAGCTCTCGAGTACATTCATGTTGCACAAGACCGACTTCTTTCCTCATCTTGATTCTGAGGATGGTTTTGCACCACATCACCCTCTACAGCAACAACATCTTGATTCTCAGTATTGTTGGTAGCTTGAGCAGGAGAACTCGTTTTGATTCCTTTGAATGAAGTTGGTTTTGTGTTCTTCCGCTTTTATATTGTTTCTTTTGATTCTTCATCTTCTCTTGGAAGTTAGAAAGATTTCATGCAAGTAAAGCTAGTGTGTTCATTATTGGTTCTTTAATTCTATACGTTTTCTCTTTTATTGGAAGTTGGAAAGATTTATGTTTACCTCGAGTTGTTAAATGATTACATCTCCTTGTCTTTTCAAATTTCATTTTATATTCTTTGATAGTTCTTCTTACGTATATTTTGATGTAATAATGGATTTGATATCAGTTTACAAATGGTGTATTGCTGATTTTGGTATGATGTGTTTGAAATTTATTCATAAACAATATTATAGCGGTTATTACTCTTAACCGTTGTTATAGGACGCGTGCTATTCAGTTGACTATAACGGTCACTGGATCGTGATTGAAAGTAACACATATACAACAACACGCTACATAATAACGTCTGGACCTACGTGATTATACACCTAATCCAACCATTGTTAAAAGTCTTTTTCGTACTAGTGTCTGATAGTGATTTCAGACGTTGACAGTAGATGGAGGCGTCAGGAAATTATTCCATACGAGCATTAGAAAATTCTTGTTCTAGGTAGAGTCCTAGAATTTTTGATGTCATAAAAGATATTGAACAACCAGTTCCATGTTTGTTCTGCGGTTTAATCGCGCTCGACACTTGTGTGAAAAAGATCATTTGATATATAGTACCGTAAACCCATTAAAGGACAGCATCTAGACAATGTCATAGGCGAGGGTCGGTGGTTTTGAGGTCAAAAAAGGTTGCATCATTCTATGTCAAATTTAGAAAACATCATATGATAATTTCATTTTATGTCAAGAAAAATATATTCAAGATCTTCTTCACAAAGCCAACATATCTACAACAAATTCTATAAAACTCCTATAATGTCTATTGTCAAACTTACTGCTTCAGATTCTGTCAACATTGAGGATCCTGCTCAATATAGATCCATAGTGGGAACACTTCAATATCTCACCATTACTAGAACTGACCTAGCTTATGCAGTCAAAATTTGTCAATTCATGCATTCCCCCAATCAATCTCATTAGCAAGCAGTCAAAAAATGCAGAGGCAGAATATAGAAGCCAGTCAGTTGTTACTACAAAATTACTTTGGCTCAAATCTCTACTTGATGAACTAACAATCAAACGTACTCCTTCTCACACTGTTTACTATGATCTCAGAGTTGTCATGCTTGCTTCCCACTCTATTCTTCACCTTTAGAGCAGACGGTTGATATCTTCTCTAAAACTTATTTCTACAGATTTCTCTCTTGAGTGTGCTACAAACAAAGGGTTCGTGATCATAATATGTCGGCATATGTATAATGAACAATACCATAACAATAACAATAATACAAATCATGGTAAATCTTCCTTTCATTCTCTCAATGCTAGAAAACCTTTTATTCTTTTCAGATTTATTACACGTCCCTTATATTTCTTAGAACTTATTTAGTGTTTCAAAATTTGCTCATCTTTGAATTTCATGTTGATCATTACTATGTGTAATCTCATGTTAACAATGACATATTGCTGTCAGGAAAACTTAGAAATGAACTTTATGCCTTTGACTTAATTAATCTTCAATCATATCCACCTAATTCTATTAATGCCTACAATGCTGCAACTTTTACTGCCACCAATTCTTTTAAGTTATTTAATTGCAATCCTGGTTCTTGTTCTCAACATCCCTCTCAAAATGGCCTTGTGAATACCTATGGCATGTGTTATGCTTGATTATGCCATGCCTATAATAATGTTGTATCTACTAGTAACAAATTTAAAATTTCTCATGTTTGCAAAACCTGTTACCTCTACAAATGGAAGCAAATACTAGTTGTACTTTATTGATGTTTACTCAAAATTTACTTGGATTTACCTCTTCAAAATGGATTCACTTTTAGAAATCAACCATGGATCAAGAATTTTAGCTCTTCAAAATACCATAACCAGAAGATTGATTAAACTTCCACAGAATGCAAATGGGTGTTCCGTGTTAAACTTCCTAGATGGTTAAACTTTTTCATGTTTATGTTGATGATGTAATCATTACTAGTAATTCTAAAAAAGACATTCAGTGTCTCCTCAACTCCCTTCACTCTCAAACAACTAGGTGACCTCCATTATTTTCTTGGTATTCAAGTTCGGAGAACATCAAATGTGAAAACTCCTATGGTGTCTATTGTCAAACCTACTGCTCCTCCCACCAAGAAAAGCAATTTTCCATCCAGTTGTGTTCTCTTTTAACAAGAGAAGAAAACTTAAAAAGAGTAACTAGTTAGTCAAACACCGCTTATAAATCTAAACTTAGGTTACTTACACCAGTACATGAACCATCCTGTTAAGAAAAAAAGGGTTGCATTCAGCTCATCGATAATCTAAAAACACTATCTAAACATTACTACAAGTTAAGACACGATTCTTCAACGATACGAGGCTCTTAGAACTGTCTCTTCACCATTGTTGATAGGTGGAGAAAAACTCTCAGCTTTTGCTCCACCATGATTACTTGGATAACAAGCTTTGCAGAGCTCAGTATATCTATGAGCATCAAAGTTGTATTTCTTCATAAGACGTTCTTGTTTGACCGTAAATCTCTGATTGAAGTACCCTTGAAACGTTGGCTCAGTTGAAGTCCTGATGAAGAACATGTATGCCATAGCAAAGTGAAGGGAAGTAACAAAGAAACATATGGGTTCCATAACATCCCAACTTAGCTCCCAAAAAGTGAGTCTCATAAATCCAAGTGTTTGGATAGTTATAAAGCCCAATCCACAATAAAGCTCAGTTTGGACTCGGGCTTTTGCTTTATCATCAATTAGTGCTTTTTGCTTCTCCATATTTTCTAGCTCTTTTCTTCTTGGGTCGTTTGGGCTGGCTATTGATTGATGCATTAAGCTCTCAATTGATTTTGCAACCTGTAATCCAAAACAAGTATACATATTAAAAAAAAACAATGTTGTGGTTCTTTGATGGTCCCAAAAACTAGTTAATAGGGACAAAGTCGAGCAGAAAAGTAGGCAGGTAAAGAAAGGTAACTTTCAGGCAATGCATAGGGGGGAAAGGGGTGGGTAGGTAAGGCAGGTGTCACACACACTTTTTGGTGTAATGAAGAATAACACAAAAAACCATATAGTCATATACAGCATCAGATAAGTCCCTCCCCAGAGAAGAACTAAAACTAAAGTTAGGGCGTATTCATTTCAACTTCCTTAAAACTTGTGCCGCCGATTCCTTTCTCCCAGGAAATAAGGCAAGTTTGGATTACACAATATTATGTGTAAATTTTATAGGATTCTAGCAACTAAATTTTGATTTCGTGTCCTCATTCTTCCCAAAATACTACTTATAAATCTTTTATTTTCTATATATGACATGTGACATATTTTGTCTTTTTGGTCGTTTTTCAGTGCTAGTATAGTATTGAATTAAATATAGCAATAAGGCTTTAACATGTCAAATCTTTTGTAATTACTATATCCCGGCTTCAATGTTTTATTTAAAGTTACTTTTTTTTTAATATCTATAAAATCATTAACTTACAAATTTAATCATTCAAAAAATATTTTATTTCAACTTATAAATGTAATAACTACCTTTTTTATATAATAACAATTTTGAGGAATAAATGTTTTAATTGTTTTCTATTTTTTCAAAATTAAATAGTTTAATGTCGATGATTTCATTTTTTAATATGTAAGTAAATACTTGGATTCGAATATGTGCATCAGAATGTTTTTTTGCAGTCATCATACTAGTATGTCATAGGATATTTTTTCTATTTTTTAAATAGGCTTATTATAAGTTTTAATATTATAAATTTGCAATATTTTATTTAACAATATTTATTAAAGACTAAATTAAAAACTTAATTTTATAAAATAATTTAGTCTAAATATATCCTTAATATATATACTTTTTGTATTCATAATAGTAAAAAAACATAATAGTTAACTAACTTCTATGTAAAAAATTTAAATTAATTTTTAATAGATTAATTGATATGTACCGTTTTAAAAAAAAATGTTACACTATCATCGTAACCATTAATTGGTAGTATTTTAGATGTAATTAAATAAAAAGTTAAAAGGATATAAAAACTAACGATTATTAAATTTATCAAAAATATTTTTATATTATATCAATTCAATTCAATTTTTAAGAAAATAGTCTATTAGAAACAACAAAAGTGAAAATATAAAATATTAATTCGTCAAATATTTTAAATCTTCATTGAATATTGATATTTTGATAATAAAAATAATATATTGACATTATAAAAGAGTTTTATACTATCATCTAATAAAAATATATTGTTCTATTATTTCATTTAAATAATTGAAAACTTTCCATATAACTTAATAAGATGTATAACCGTTATTTGTTGAAAATATAAAATTATTTTACAATATAAATATATATTTTTGCATGTATGTTTGTTATTATCATTCGTTAGAAAATAAAAATATATATACTCCAAATCAAAAGTATCTTTGCTTGAACCGATGGATACGCTAACAACTACTAAAATCTAAATGTGCACAATTACTATGATTTATACTTAAATTGAAGTAAATTATACTCGCAACATTAAAAAAGGCATATTCATTTAAGAAAGGAATATTTAGTTAAAGAAAGAAAAAAGAAACTGAAAATACCTGTTCTGGCCTGAGAAAAACAGTGTTCCCCAAAACGATGACGTTTCCAGATTCATCCAATATCCTTGCAAACTCAGCACCTTGATCATGATTTTGAGATGATTCAAAGCAAATCCGCAAGAACTCCGAGTAACAAATCGTATTCTCCGGAATGTCTCTCAGTTTCGCCTTCACCTTCTCCATTTGTGAAGCTCTCAGAATTTTCTTCGCATCCTCAACTGTTATTTCAGTTCCGGTAACACTCGCCGGAGCAGACAGCGGCGGAAAACCAAGACCGAAACGATCTCCGGTACCGGTAATGTTGTTGATATTTTTGAGTTTCTCCCTGAGTTTTTCTCCCACCGGTAGTGAGAGAAACTCCGGAAGCTTCGCGGTGCCGGAGTGGTGCACGGATCTCCGGGGAAGAAAGCGCCGGAAAACGCCTCGGTTTATGGAATCCGGCGAGGAGAGATACTCGCGGTGGAAGTTAGTTTTGGAAGTGTTTGGAGAAACTATGGTTTGTTGAAGCGACGGCGTCGTTTTGACACCTTCGAAAAGACGCTCTGTAAAGAGTTTTCTAAGAGCCATTGTTAAAAAGAATGGACGCAAGAAGACTAGAGTACTACTGAAGAGAATTTAAAGACTCTTGAGATTTTGAGCAAGCTTTTGTACCTTTATATATACGTCCAATGTATGAGGAAGATATTTTTCTTTTCATTTTTTTTTATTTTTAAAACATTGATCCTATAAATTATGTGAACGTTGTAGAATAGAACAAAATATTTTAATTTTATGAAAAATAAAATACAAGATGTCATGAGAATCGTATCGACTACCGCTTTTAACTTTTGGGCAGCACAAGTTTTGTGCTAGCACAACTTTTGTATTTAACAAATCAAATAAAAAATATTTAGCAAATGGATGTTGTATTTGTTACTAATAAATAAATTTAAAAAAATAAACAATGGCAAAAAAGGTACGGGAGGTCGCAAATCTCGGCGCCACCAAAATATTTACCAAATCTGCTACGACGCATGAAGAAGAACCACAACACAATGAGAAGAACGATATTATATTGAAGAAAGTTGAGCTGGAAGAATCAAACACCACTGACGAAACCCTATAGACGAAACAAAACGAAGAATAGAATCAGCCTCGCAAGCTATGGGTTGATGCATTATGAGACAATTGGAGCCCTAATAACGGAAGGGTAATGGAATTTGTGACTCCTAAAAAGATTAACGGAGAAATTGAAGTAGAGATTAAAGTGGTATTGGAAATATAATTTACTTAATGTCTATAATTTCCAATGTTTATTCTTTAATAGGGTCTTTTGACATTTTCAATTTTAGTATAAATATGCTACCTAGGCTATCAATATTGTAACTCATTCATTCTTCTATTTGATATACAATAGTAGTCCTCTTTGTAATCATTCATTGTCCATTCTTCTTCTCCTCTTTCATTATCTTGCACTAACAAATTGGTATCAAGAGCACTTGGTTCTGTTTTCTTGGGAAACACGAGTGATTGTGAGCTGTGTGTTTGATTTTGGTTCATTTATTTTTTTGAAATCTTGAACAAAAAATCTGAACAGAATCTGATTATATGGATTGGGAAACAGTGTGTTTGAAGATCTGAAAAATCCGTGCAAGGTTTAAAATGAATGGAGACAGTAGTTTGAACACCAAACTTCCCGTTTTTAATGATAAAAACTAGAACAGATGGATGATACAAATGTGTGTGCTGTTTGGTGCGCAAGATGTTCTGGATCTAGTTACAGATGGTTATGTACCAGCTGCAGCAGATGCAACTGAAGAACAGAGAACTGCTGAGAGGATGATGAGGAAGAGGGACCAGAAAGCTCTGTTCTATATCCATCAGTGTGTGAATGAAAGTGTGCTCGAGAAGATTGCTGACTCAACAACGTCAAAAGGGGCGTGGGATTTACTGGTGAGATGTTACGGTGATGACGCATCAGTAAAGAAGGTGAAGCTTCAATCCCTACGAAAGCAATATGAGAACCTGAACATGAAGAGCAGTGAGAAAGTTTCTGAATATATCTCCAGAGTGATTCTGATCACTAACGAGATGAAGGCGTATGCAGAAACTCTGTCTGAACAGGTAATCATAGAGAAGATTCTGAGGTCGCTTACTCCTCAGTTTGATTACATTGTTGTTTCTATTGAACATTCTAAAGATCTGGAAACCATGAGAATAAAAGAATTACAAAGCATATTAGAAGCATAGGAGGTACGTCTTTCTGAGAGAACTTCTGAGAGGGAAGCTAAGCAAGCTCTGAAGGATTCTTTTGTCAAGAAAGACCAGAAGAAGAATAAACATGGTGATAGATTCCAAAATCCATAAGCCTAAACTTCTGATGATAAGAAATATCATAAAGGAAAGGAGAGGTATAACAAAAGGAAGGTTCAATGTTACTCTTGTAAACAATTTGGCCATTTTGCCAGAGATTGTAGGTCAAACAAGGAAAGGAAATCAGAAGAAGCATATATGGCTAAGAGAAACTCCAATGATGAACTTGTACTACTAATGGCTTCTGATTTTGATGGAAAATGCTCAGAAGATTGGTTGTATATGGACACTGGTTGTTCAAATCATTTAACTGGAAACAAACAATGCCTGACAGACTTTGACTCCAGAAGGAGAACAAAGATCAGATGTGCTGATGATAAGTGTCTTAATGCAGAAGGTATGGAAGATGTCAGAGTTAGAGTGAAGAATGGGAAAGACATTCTTATCAAAGACGTTTTGTATGTTCCTGGTATTATAAGCAATTTGATGAGCGTAGGTCAGATGATTGAGAAAGGTTTCTCAGTTGTTATGAAAAACAATATTTTAACGTTGTATGATTCCAATCAGAAGTTGAAATGAAGTCTGAACAAGGAGGAAAAAAAATATTCAAGGTAAATGTAGAAACAGCTGAAGCAATGTGTCTTGTGCAGAAGGCGCTGAAGGTAACAGTAAGCTGTGGCATAAGAGGTTGGGGCATTTGAACTATAGAAGCTTAGGGCATCTATGTTCTAAAAAGCTTGTACATGGTATTTCAAAGATTATGAAGCCTGGGAAGTCATGTGAGATATGCATGAAAGGCAAACAACCTAGATTGCCTTTTACATCAGAAGTAGCCCCCAGAGCGAGGCATGCTCTGGGAGTAGTACATTCTGATGTGTGAAGGCTGAAAAACAGAGTGGCCAGAAGTTAAAAATTTTGAGAACGGATGGTGGAGGTGAGTATAACTCTACAGTGTTTCAGAAGTTCTATGAGGAGAGTGGAATAGAACATGAGGTTATTTCTTCATATACTCCTCAACACAACGGTCTTGCTGAAAGAAGAAACAGAAATTTGCTTGATATGACCAAAAGCATGCTGAAAGAGAAAAAGATACCTCACGTGTTATGGGGAGAAGTTGTTGCCACATCAACATATATTCTGAACAGGTGCCCAACGAAGAAACTGAAGGAAGTTATTCCTTTAGAGAAATGGACTGGAGATAAGCAGAGTGTCAGTCATCTGGAGGTGTTTGGCTCTGTCTATTACAAACACGTTCCAGAAGCTAGAAGACAAAAACTGGATGATAGAAGCAAAGTAATGTTACTGGTGGGGTACCACAGTACAGGTGCGTATAAGCTTTATTGTCCAGAAACTAATAAAGTTGAAGTCAGCAGAGACGTTGTGGTGAAAGAGTCTGAAGCATGGGATTGGAACAAATCTCAATCAGATTCTGGTGTAGTGCCAACACCAGAGTTATCCTCTGAAGATGTTTTAGAAAATTCAAAAGATGAATCTGATTCTGAAGATCCTGAAGATTCTAAAGATGAGTCAGAAGAAGATTCTGGCAATGGATCTGATTCTGATCTATATGCTGATGATGATCCAGAATCTGGTGGTGATCATAGTTCTGGAAGGGAAAACTCTGAAGGTGGTAACTCTGAAAGTAGTAGTTCTGGTGCAGCTTCAGAACAAGCTCAAAGACCACCGAGAATCAGACAAAGACCAAGAAGGTTTGCAAATTTTGACATGTTGCAGGATAATGAAGTTGACTCTGAAGGAGAAGTCGTTCAGTGTGCCATGTTAGTAGATTCTGAACTAATGGGCATTGAAGAAGCTCTCAAGAAGAAAGAATGGCTTAATGCCATGAAAGAAGAACTTGAGGCAATAGAAAGGAACAAAACTTGGAAATTGACTAAACTTCCAGATAAGAAAAAAGCCATCAGCGTCAAATGGGTTTTTAAGTTGAAACTTAAGCCAGATGGTTCAATTGGCAAGCACAAAGCTAGACTAGTAGCTAGAGGTTTTCTTCAGAAACCTGGGCTAGATTACTTTGAGGTGTTTGCGCCTATAGCTAGGCATGAAACAATCAGACTGGTGATTGCTTTAGCTGCAAATAGAAATTGGCCTTTAATGTATCTGGATGTGAAGTCTGCCTTTCTGAACGGTCCATTACAGGAAGAAGTTTATGTGTCACAACCTCTTGGATTTGTGAAAAAGAATCTGGAAGGGATGGTATACAAGTTGAATAAAGCTATGTATGGACTGAAGCAAGCGCCTAGAGCTTGGAATCTGAAAATTGATTCCTTTTTCAAGAAGCATAGGTTTCAGAAATGTAAGATGAAATATGGAGTTTATGTACAACACTCTTATAACAATATGATTATGATGTATCTCTATGTTGATGACATTTTGCTAACAGGTAGCTGCCCAGAAGCTATAAAGAAGTTCAAATAAATTCTGATGAATGAGTTCGAGATGACAGATCTAGGAAAAATTACATATTTCCTAGGGATCAGTACTCAAAGAAGTGTATCATTTTGCATCAGTTAAAGTACGAACTAGAACTTCTGAAGAGATTTAAGCTGCAAAATTGCAAAGTTGATGTGACACCATCAGAAACCAATCAAAAATTGGATTCTAACTCTGATGGTGATTATGTTGATTCTACAACCTTCAAATAGTTGGTTGGTTCTCTAAGGTATTTATGTAATACTAGACCTGACATTTGTTATGCAGTTGGATTGGTTAGCAGATTCATGAGTAATCCAAAGTGGTCTCATTTCCAAGCTGCTGTCAGAATTCTGAGATATATCAAGGGAACCCTGAGATATGGAGTGTTGTTTCCTTCTGAAAGAAAGACAAAATTAGAATTAGTAAGTTATTCTGATTCAGACTGGTGCGGAGACAGAGTGGACAGGAGAAGTACTTCTGGATACTTGTTTAAATTTCTGGTAGGTCCCATTTCCTGGAGTTCCAAGAAACAGCCTATCGTGGCTCTGTCAACATGTGAAGCTGAGTATTTTGCAGGTGTTGTAGCTGCTTGTCAAGTTGTTTGGCTTTTGAATCTCCTATATAATCTGAAGGTTGAAGTTGAGGAACCTATGAAGCTGATGATTGATAATAAGTCTGCAATTGATCTTGCAAAGAATTCAGTGCTACATGGAAGAAGCAATCACATTGAGACGAAGTATCATTTTCTCAGAAGTCAAGTGCAAAAAGGAGTGTTAGAAGTTCTGCACTGTAGCACTCAGAAACAGCTTGCAGATCTTCTGACAAAGGCAGTTAAAACAGATCAA